ACTCCGCTACTGCAAAAAAAATAACAAAATTTATTATTTTAGTATTGTTAAAGTACGTGAAACTCGTTTAACAGTACTTCTATCACATATATTTATTGGTATGTCATTATTTATGCGTGATATTCTTAAACAAATCCCATTGCCAGTATTAGATGGTTTATTTCTTTATTTGGCCTTAACATCACTTGATGGTAATCAATTTTTTGAACGAGTTACATTATTTTTTACTGAACAAGTATGTTAATGAAAACATTTTAGCTTTTTTGTTGATTAATATATATATTTTTTTTTCTTTGGCTTTTTTTTCAAGGCTGCTTATCCACCGAATCATTATATACGTCAAGTTCCACAACGTAAAATACATCTTTTTACTTTCTTACAACTTCTTCAATTATTAATCTTATGTTTTTTGGGTTTTTCACCAATACTTTATAGTAAATTAGTTTTACCAATATGGCTTGTAGCTATGGTTGCTTTTCGATATCGAATATTACCAAAAATTATTGCTAAAAAATATTTACGAGCTTTAGATCAACGATTATAACCTTGCTTTTTCTTTGTCTATGAACAGAATATTTTTGTAAAAAACAAAAAAAAAAGTAATTAATATTAAGAATAAAAAATTTAATTTAGTATCATATTTGAAACCTTAAATGTTTTGTTATTTTTGCTTTTTCTGTGGTCTAACATATAGAAATTTCAATTCTTGTGATGAGGTTTCAAAGATTTTATTATATTTTCTAGGAATTTTATTCGAGAAGATAAGAATAGAAAAAAAAAAAAGAAAAATCATTCATGTGTACAATAAACCAAAATGATAAAAATTGAAGATATAGAATTTGAATAAAGTAAATGAATATTGTAAACTATTTTATTTTTGTATGAAAATAAAATGAATATAGATTTCGAATCTGATAATGCGAAAGAATAAATATTAATTATAACACGAAGATTTTTATTTTTAATTACAGAAATTCATATCAAGTTTATGTATTTGATGTATACATTAAGTTTGACTAAAAATGTCTTCCTAATTAGATAGAATAGACAATCTTATGTTTTTTTTTAGAGAATTCATGTTCAAGAACTCTATCATTTGAAAGTATTCTCAAAAAAGAAAAAAACCTTTGATTTGTTTATTATCAATAGTAGATTCTCTGTTTATTTTTCCTACATAAATTGTCGAGTTCTAAGTAGAAATCATATGCAATTAGATTAATTCACATAAAAAAAAAAAAAAACCAAACTACGAAATATACCAACATAGAACATCGATGTGATGCACAACGTAATCAGTGCTACTGATAAAAAAGAAAAAGAAAAACTAGATAGAAGGAAGATAAATTGGGTGCAGGCTCTCGCTTCATCTAGAAAAAAAACATATATGTATATATCAAAAACAGTTATTATCATAACTATGAAAAGGTTAACAAGGGCTTCTTAGAGAGCTAATATAAAATTCTTTTTTCTTTATAATGACATCTAAATAATGACAAACAAAATGTTCATTTATTACCAAAAAGAAAAAAATTGTAAGAAGAATCTGATAAAAAAAAATTAATAAAAATTTTAAAATAATTTTATGTTACTAATAAGAAATAATGATCAAAAATTAACTTCAATAAAATAAATCCATACATTCTAAACACTATTTTCAGATATTTTTAAAGTTTTCATTACCAAAAAAAGATTATAATTTCAATAATGTATTTTCAATAAGATTCTCAAAAAAAAAGAAACGACAACGAATTTTCCTTCGAACTCATAGAATTCAATTTCTCAACTCACAATAGAAAGAAGTATCTATTTAAAATTAATCGTATCTAAAATTAAAAAAAATATATATATATCTAAAGAGTTTTTAATAGAAGAAAACTAAATATTTGATTTACACATGAATATATTAATAAGTCTGATCAAGATTATTGAAATGTAATCATTTTCTAGTAATTCATTCGTACAATTGCAAGAAATATCTAATCAATAGAGCTTTAATATAAAACAAAAAAACAAGACAAGGAAAACTAATTTTATTTCATGAGAATATCTTGAAATTTTTGACATATATTTTATTTAATCGACATATTTCAATCAAATCAATGTCAATTTATATTTTTATTACTGAAAATGAGATAAATGCCTTCAATCGAAAACTCAAGGTGGGTGTGCGTATATATATATAGATAATACTGATTAACTTGATGGGATAAATTTTCATCTGTACATCACATAAAGATTCTATTTATAAAAATGATTTCATATTTCAAAACTATTTGATATTAAATCAATAGAATTTCATATAAATTAGTAAATTTATTCTGTTAATGAAATAAAAATATGATTTTTCATGATACAAAACAAATTCTCATCACATGATAAGCAAAAAAAAACAAAAAAATATTTATATATTTCTCTTTCGAATAATTAATTTTCTTCATATATCATGTTTGCTTCTAATTAGAATTGCATAACTACTACAATGATATATGTAATGAATGAAAAATTTTACATATAAAATAATAATTTATATACAAAAGAAAAGTTTCATTTAACAATAATTGCTGGTGGTAATTGTCGATCAGGTAAAACTTGTCGATGAAGATATTCATATTGTCTACGTGTTTCAGTAATCTTTAAAAAAAAAATAAATAAAAATTATTATATCCAATAAAATAAAATAAAATAAATATACTTGTTGTTGAAATGATTTTTTATTTTCTTCTAATTCATGTTTTTGTCGTTTGAGTTCATCAACTTCTTCAAGTAATGCTTCAACATTGATTGCTTTTCGTTTTCGACAATTTTGTGCTGCAATCTAATGTATACAAAAAAAAAAAAAAATATGTATTATTATTTCAATTAATTAAAAACACAAAATATTGATATACTTTATTTTTTCCACGACGACGTATATCTTTTATGATATGTATTTGTTCTGGATTTAAATGATTTAAACGTGATAAATGACGATTATATTCTTCAGTTGTTGATTGTGTTATATCGTATACTGTAAGTGGAATACTATATCGACGTAAAGCTTCTTCATCTTGTTGTCCTTGATAGTTTCCACGTGCACTTGTTCGACGTACTAATATATGAGAATTTGAATGTTCATCATATTCAATCTAAAGAGAAAAAACAAACAATTATTTTGTCTTTTTTTGTTTCTATTAAATACTTTTTCTAATTTTGTTTCAATAAAAGTTCCATCAAATGTCAATTCACTATCATGTGTATATGAGTCACTCTATAAAAGAAGCATTAGAAAATTAATTTTTGAAATATATATATATTACTTCAAGTGATGAATATAATCTTTGTCGTCGACTACTATTACTACTACTTATGGAATGTTCATCATCAATTGTAACACTTAAAAGATTCATTAATGAATCTTGAGTATTTTTATTTGATAATGGAATCAATATAGGTGATGTTGTTTGAGGAAGATTTTTATTATTATTATTATTATTTAATTGATCAGATAAAAATTGATCAGGAAACATGATATTATTATTAGTTGTAGATTCGTCAAGAGAAATATAATTTGAAAGCCAATTTGAATCTGTTTGATCGTTACTTAATGGAATACCTTCAAATAATAAATCACTATTTGATGTTGTTATTGATGGTATTAGTTGATTAGATGACGATGTTGATGATGATGATGATGATTCAATAGTAGTTAAATATTCCTCAATCCAATTCTATAACAAGAAATAATTATATTTCATAGATATATTATTTAAAAGAAAAGAACAAAAAAAAAAACGAAAGATAAACAAATCAACTTACATTGTTAGACAATGAAAAAGATGGACTTGATGCAACCAGCAATTCGTGAAAGATTTTCTCACCTGAAAATATTGAAAGAAAAAAAAAATGAAAAGAACAGCTAAATAAATATTGACAAAGATGACGGCGATAACACTCTATTGATGTTAATGAAATGAAATACGGTTTTTTTTTTTCTTTTGCTTTCTTTGAATATCATCAACATATCTGATATTCTCTCAACAGTGTTGTATGTGGTCGAAATTACAACCTACATTTTATGACACATTTGAAACTTGAAACTAGGTCATGAAAATGACCAGAACAGAATAAAGACTGTCTTAAGTCAATAAAACTCGATAATAACAAAACAAATACTTTTCTCTTGCACTTTTAGACTCAAAAATTCAAAAAAAAAAAAAGACAATTTATGTGTTTTATTTACCAGTTTCTGGATCGATTTCATAATTTAAATCATCATCATCAGATGTTGATATATCATCTTCATCAGTTATTAATTTTTTACCATTTATTATAAATTGTAATTCAGATTTTTTATCTTTAGTAAAATATCTTTTGTTTGTATCATCATATTCAACATCATTGCCATCGTCTATCCAATTAGGTCGTACACCTAATTCATCAAAATCAATACATGATATATCTTGAATATCCATTAAATCCATTAATTTTGTATTATTGTATGAGTTATTAAGAAAAAACAAAACAAACTTATTGGGGACGACGACTGGATGTTAGTTACTTCTAAAACAGAAAACAAAAAATTTATTTTTTTCTTAGATAGAAAAAAACAAATTACTTTTCTTTTTTTTTTTTCTCTTTTCTGTTCTGTTAACGAAAATAAATAAAAAAAAAAAAGAAGAGAAAAACAAGGACGTAAATCTCATAACTTTTATTTTTTAAAGAATTTATCCTCAAAAGTACTATCTTTTTTTTTTCTCCAAGTTTTTATTTAATCTATTTCATAATATATGTTTGAATTAATAATTTAAGAAATAGACAGATGTTAATAACAACAAAAAAAAAAGAAATGAAAACATCTTATATAAAAATGTTTTTTTATTATTGTTTTATTTTATTAAATATAAACTGATTTAATGAAAATTTTTCATCATCAATCTATATTAATTAAAAATAAAACAACAATCATATTTCTACTTATTGATAGTCTAGAATTTATCTGAACTCAAAAAAAATAACAAAGATCAATGAATTTTAACTTCTTCATGTCGACTAGTCGCTACATGAAACCAATAGTTCTGTCTTCCAGCTCGTTGTCCAAGCATAACTTTTCGTTGTGGTATTTCTTCAGGTGGTACAACACGAACAAATTTATCTCGATCAAGATCATCAAGAACTAATTCTTTTGGCCTAAAAAAAGACAAATTACAAAATTCGAGTTTTTTTTTTGTTTCTTTTCTAACCATTTAAACATTTGAGGAAATTTTTCTATATCATTCGATGTTAAATCATCAAGTCGTTTTGGTATAATACGTGAACCACGAATTTGATCACATACATTTTTTAATAGATGAACAGGAACAGCCTAATAAACAAAATGAAAACATTCTTTTTTTTTATTGTTTTTAAAATTTATTCTTACATCATCAGGAAATGTATATAATCGAGCCATATCAAAACGTCGAGTATTATCAGTTGGTATACAACTTAATACACATAAATGAAGAACCTTAATTTAAGTTAAAAAAAATAAGTACATATTTAATTTAAAATTAATTTATATTCATTTACTTTAGTTGGATCAATTTCATGTAATTTAAATAATGGTATATCATATCTTGTCTTAGCATATTCACGTCTTACATGTAATGCATCAGCACGCCATGCATCATTACGTAATGCTATATGTCGAGTGTTTATAGCCACAACACAATCACCTGTTGATTCTATTTAAATGAACAAAAAAATATAAAGAATTTTCATAAATAGATAATAAAAATTATTCTTCTCTAATGAAGTTTTACTATTTTTTTAATCGATGTGTTCGATATAAAAACGTCAATCAGTTCACATGTATCGAAATTATGATTTATATACATCTTCTATCATTTATGTAAAAATATGCATTCAGAACAATTTTATTTTGTACTTTTGATATATCACGAGTTATTACTTTGATTTTTTTTTGTTCGAGCGCTAAAAACAGAGTCACATATGTCTAATTTATTATCACTCAAGTTCGAGATGCATAGTCAAGGTCTTAGTAATTTACACACTCTGAGATAATGACACATATGTCGTAGCATTAATTCAGTTTCAATTGATGTTACGGTTCTAAAACTATCAAATAAAAGAAAAAAAACACTTATCATTTCATTGTTATTATGGAAAAAGTTCAATCGAGAGAGTCTAATGACCAGATAAACACTCTTCAGTTGTTCGACCTTCATTATTGAGATTTCAAAAAAATAAAATCATACTTTTGATTTTTTTTTTACCTAAAACTTTTTCTAAGATGTTAGTCTGATCGAATCTTTTAAAATGAACAAAGTCTCGGATCAAAATTCAAAAACTAATGTTCTATAAGAAAAATACGATATCTCATCAATTAATTTCCAATAGCTGAGGACTTATTCTACGGTATTAAACTAGTCACTAAGCTCTATCAATTGAATATAATTTCAGCTTAAAAAACGTTCTAATTTTGATGAAAATATTTGTGAGAACATTGTTAAGATAAGATGATTACTAAAGGACAATGATATGAGAATCATAAAACTAGTGCATGCGAACCAATGAAAGACAGATTAGCACTCTGTTATCAAGGCTTTTTTTTTGTCGCATATATACCCAAAATACATCAATTCTATATGACAAAAGAATAATAGTTGTTAAATATATTATTATAGTATGATTAAATTAATAATTATTAGAATGTTCAAAACATCTACATTGCATCATAACTTCAACTATTTTCTTTTTAATATAAATGCTAATACAAAATTCTTAATCAATAAGTGTTATTAATATATGTAAATTTATATTTATTCTACTCATAGTCAATCATCATTCTTCAACATAAATATTTCTATTAAAAAAAACCAATCTTCAAAATATGTGTCTATTCACATAATAATAAAAAAAAAATAGTCCTTGTCTAATCAATCGAGCATAAGTCCTCATCATTCTAAAGAAAAATACAAACTAAAATATTCTTTTCCTCTTTCTAAAAAAAACCTTTTTCTTTGTAGTATATACATAATTAATAAGATCAACTTAACATAAATGTGAGAGTATAATGCAATGTTCATAAACAAAATGTTTAAACATACCTCCAGGATAATAAATTGGTTTATGTTCACCACGTAAAATACGAGCAATTTTTTCACCAGATAAATGTGGACATTGCCATTTAGCATCAAATAAATACCAAACACGAGAAAATGTTGCTAATTGCTAAAATAAATTTTTGTTTTTTTTTTCTACTTATGAAATTTTCACTTACTTTTGCTTTATTAAATGCCATAATTTATTGTTTGTATTTTTCTAGAAATATTTCATAATGAATAATACAAAAACAAGATGAAATTTCGATCGATCTATTCATAAGGAAGACACACATACTAGAACAAAAATTCATCTAATTATCACTTATGTACATAATCAGAAAGTCTTTTCCTAAGTTTTCATAATAGATCGCAATAATAAATCCTCTATTTATGAAACAGAATTTAAGATCGAAACTGATAATACCTTAGAAACTATTCAAAAAAATAAAATAACTTTCTAGACAACACCTATTTGTTCGACTATAGGTACTCGAAAATTTAACAAAATTCATAATAAGTTAAGTAGAGAAAAATTTTGCTTATTTGTCAATTTTTGTTTTTTTGTATATGAAACTTGATCAAACAAGCTGTAGTTTGTTTTTTGCTACTGTAGGACTTCTTTTCAAAGTGTGATTTTGTACTTCAGCAATTAACACATTATTGTATTTTTTTAGTGCTTTGCTTGGACTACGTCAAAAAAAAAAACTTATACGAAGCCAATTGTGATGTTACATAGCATTCGAAATTAGAGAAAATTCAAAATCTGTCAAGTTTTGAAGAAAGTTGATTAGACGAGTTAAATAAAGTGTATAAACGTTTCTTATAAATGATCTCTTATTCTAGGTCGAAAATTTCCTAATACTGTTGTAAGTTTTAACTAATAATTTATGAGAACGAACAATGATAAGACTACCTGAATCTTATCAGAGCCAACTTGTGGGTAAAAAAAACGATTAACTCTCAAGTGAAGAAACATTTTAACACTTCGCACATCAACTGTATAAACTTTACTAAAGGAATAATACTTGTTTTGACATCTAAAAATGATAGATTAATTGTTAGTAAATGTTTGAATTTTATGTTTATCTTGAAAATTTTTTCAAATAGACTTTCATTCATTTGCTAGAGTACTGATATAAACAAAAATGACTCAGTCTCTTGTAAAAATTCTCGAGATGCTCTCCAATAGAATTCTTTTTTCTAGTCATATCACTACTAGATCTCACTTGTATTTTTTTTTCTTCATTTTATATTAAATTAAATGTGATTATTTTTGAATTTAATTACAAATTTAATAAATAAATTCATAGATCAAAAAGTGTATTTGATTCTTAAATATAGTGACGTTCAAAGAAAAGAAAAAACAAGGAATAGTTTTACTTACCAACATGAATCGGTTCTACCGAGAAGAAGAAAATCAACAATCATTTTCTATTCGTTCGTTTGATTCATCCAATCCAAATAGAGAATTTAATAAGAACGTCAAAATGAAGGAGTATCCAAGAATAAGCATATAGAATATGGTAATAACAATTATTTGCATTAATAAAAATTTAAACTTGTTATTAACATGGACAAATATATTAAATTAAATCGTATTGGTAAAGGTGCATACGGGTAAATTTTTGTTATCATATTAAAATTGTATAAAATCAAAAGTTTTTCATAATACTCATATATTCGTTAAAATCAAGTATATATATATGAAATATTTTGTAAAATTAGTTTATCTATTGAGTTTCATCATCGATATGAAAGTACAAAATGATTGTACTTTCTTCAGTATCTTTGAATTTCTATCAACTGATAAAATTAAACTAAAATTTAATTGAAATTGTTTGAAACTAATATTAAAATCGATTATCAATAAGTTTTACATATAAATAAATAATAATAATATTTAGTTAGATTATGTGTCCGTAGAAGTCTTTTAAAAAGTATAAGTTAATATTTATTGTGAATATGAGTGCTTTATGATAGTGGAAGATACTTTTAAGAGAACGTAAAAATCTTCCGAGTAAATAGATTAAGTTAGGAACATGATATCCAAGCATATTATTTAACTGATAAGAAAATTTTCCTCTGATGTCGATGATTGTTTACCTGTAGATACTATATAAATTTGTTGAAATCATCTCTGTTAGGAATACTAAATTTTTCGTGTGATGGCTTTGATTTTTTTGTTATTGTAATATGATTCATTGCCTAATGAATCGAAAAGCACATTTAGACACGTGATAAATTCTCTTTTTCTCTTCTAAGAAATAAATAGGTCAGAATGAGATACAAAGCAACCTATCTGCAACTAGTTCGAAAAAGTATGATCGACTTTTCTGAATAATAAAACATAACACTTTCGTAAGACGTTCTAAAACATTGTCTTTTTAGTTAGTTTCAGGCGCGACATCGATTGAGTGAAAAATATTTTTCAGCAAAAAAGGTATATGAGTATTTGTGTCTAATAGATAAGCTGGTCAGGTATATCGATTTCTCATTAATGAGAAATAATCCAAATTTCTATTGACTCTTCTATATAAGTAAATATTCTAACAAGAAAGATATAAGAAATATGTCAGAGTGATATAAAAAGATCTAGATAAGATAAGTATCACGAGTCCATAATATTAATCATCACTTCTATGAGTTAACGACTATCATTTTTAAAATACAGGCTTAATTGTAGTGGGTCATAGTCATAATAGATAATGAATATTTTTTATTGCATACGAAAAAATATAGAAGAGTAAAAAAACGTCACAACGAAGAGATAAATTCAAAATTTCAACCTGAATGCGAGTGCAAACGAGTAGAACTATATTTGAATGATTCATATGCAGTAGGTCACATGAAAAGATTTGTAGTTTAAACATTTCATATCTCCGAACTTTGGACTTGTCAAAATACTTTTGTATTATATTCATTATAC